GAGAGGGAGAGGGAGGGGGAGAGGGAGAGGGAGAGAGAGCAAATATATCAACAACAAACTGACTGCTATTAATAAAACATTCTCCCATATCCTCAGAAATAACAACATCACACTACAACTACCTGGGTTTGAAAATCACATCCACGGGAAACTTTAATCATGCTGTGAATGAACTGAGAGATAAAGCACGCAGGGCCTTCTACGCCATAAAACGGCAATGTCCTATAGAGATCCCCATTAGAATTTGGTGGCAGAAGAAGCTGCAATTGCTTTGGCAATACAAATGTATAATTTTTGTCATGCCAATAAAGCACTCTTAAATTGAAATTGAAAATTGAGAGAGACAGCGAGAGAGACGAGAGAGACAGAGAGAGAGACAGATGAGAGAGAGAGAGAGAGAGAGAGAGAGAGGAGCACTGACTCTGGGCTGCAGCTGAGCTTCTGCAGGTCCTGCGGCAGACAGGGCACCGGCGGCGGCACGCTTCCCGGAGGAAGGAGGCTGCGCTCCTGCAGCAGGTTAATGACCCTCAGCGCCTCCGGAGGCTGAGACTGCAGGCTTAACGACGCTAACGAGGGGCTCAGCTGAGAACAGAGACAACAGCACAAACACCAGCTTCATTCTGCTCTCAGACAATAAAGCACAAACAGTCTTAGAAAAAAAATTCTAAGCGAAATTCTCATTTCTTCTTTCTTCATTATATTTCCTGAATTTAAGCATATGCATATTTGTATTCCTTTCATAATATTACAGTTCAATCATTACATTGCTATATAATTTTAAATGCTGCATACTGTAGTGCTAATTTTGGGAAAACCTGACAATGCAATATTTTTTTTTTTTTCTGTATGTAAGTTTCATATTGTGATATGAAAAAAATAATGGACTTTTCACCAAATTACTTGAATAGTTATATTTGGAAAGAAATAATAATTCTAGAATAATTGGGGTGATTTTGTTAGGGGGAGCTTTAGCATAGAAAATAAGAAATAAAAAAATAATAATGACTTAATTATAGTAATTATTATAAATATTAGACAAAATAGGAAATCTATTGTAATAATGACATTACACTGTGAAACAAAATACATTACAGTAAAAAAAAATATTTAGATTTTAATATAGATTTTTTTTCTTTTTAAATAATCATGTAAAATTGAGCTTTTATTTGTGGTTTTTGGAAAATAAATATATAAAATATAAAAATAATTTATCTGTTTGATTAAATTATAGGCTTTGCGATTTGTGATATTGGTGCAATGTAAATTAATAATTCAGCTCCAATATATTAGAGAGGGTCAAGATCTCTGAACTGGGACAAAAAAACACCAATTTTGTATTACATAACAGTCTAACACAGGGCTATTCAATTCATCTTCATCCGACCCGAGGAAGAGTACGCAGGCCACACATACGCCTTGAATTGATTTTGCACTAATTAGTTTGTCCACAAGGTGGCAACACTGGCCCGGGCCAGCAGAAAAAGAAAAGAGAGAGACGCAATAACAACAATCTACCGGGGACGGCAGCGCTGACAAGCACTTGTGTGCGGGAGTTATGAGATATCCACAACTCTAGTTTAAACAGGTTTAAAGACAGTGTTATTGGTCATAACTTCTGACGAGTGCCGACACTGGACGAAGATTATTATCAACGGAAGGAGCCTATAGTTTGAAAGTCTGCGTGTTCAGCTGTACGCATATGCTGAGCCGCTTCAACGGACAAAAACAAACACAATGATGTACAAATACATGGTTCTGGCGAGTTAACTTATTTAAGACTGTGTTTATGAGGTAAGCCCTAAATGACCGTAACGAGTTTGGAGAAAATCAGATGTGTATCAGATCCACGTCATGTGCATCAGGATTTAAAGAGACAGCGCTGCTTTTAAAGTGAAACCTGCTGCAGTCTGTGACTGATGTAACGTTAAATCAAAGAACAAAAGAAAAAGAGAAATCACTCAACTGCTCTGCTTGCTGATTAACTTTTGTAGCTTAAATAAAAATTAATCAATATGGCTTATGCATACAATTTATAGTTTATGTTAAGATTTTTTTAAGTTTACTTAAATTAAAAGTTGTTATATTTTTCAAAGCCTATTAAATGTTGAAAATAATGGCTTTCAATTATACTGTAATGCTAAATAGCTATAATTAATGGCTAAAATTGAGGATTTTAAAAATAAAATGGATTTAATAGAGACATCAGTAACATTATTGGTATCAATGATACTGGTCTTCATTAATAATACACTAGTAAAAAGATGCCATTAAACATTTAAAATATGCTGTCCTTATGTTGTTTCTATATTAATTTGGAGGTTGATTTTTTTTTCAATTGACTGACAGACAGCACTAATGTTAACCTTTTATAGATGTTATTGTTGGTAATATTATTTCATTTTACTGCTGAATATGCATTTAAATTTAATTTCTAATTTATGCCCCCCAGAAAGAGATCGGGACGGCCCCTACCCCCTTCAAATTTTCAATTCGATAATCTGGCCTTAAAATGAAGCTAATTGAATAGCCCTGGTCTAACATATCTAACATCCATCTAATATCTATACCGACAATCTATTACTACTACTACAAAAAAAAAAAACACCTTTAAATGTGACAGTGTGTGTAGAGTTCATAGAGCGAGTGCAGTGCTGAGAGAATCCTGAGCTACAGCACGAGTCTGATCTGAGACAGACGTACCTGCGGGTAGAGCTGCGTCTGCATCTGTGTCTGCATCTGTGTCTGCATCTGCGTCTGCATCTGCACGCCGGACACATTCTGATAGACCGGCTGCAGTGAGGGGTAAGAGCTGGCCAGCGGCCGCTGCATCTGACCGGGGAGAGCGGGGAACACTCCTGCACACACACACACACAACAACAATAACAACATCACACAAACACACACACACACACACACACACACACACACGGAGAACCTTTGGAAGAACCGATTCTTCTAATCCAAGAACACAATGATAAATGATGAAAATGTCTGCTAGAGCCTCAAATGAAACGCTTCAAAAGCATTCGGTTAAGACGGCCAGACTGACGGGTCAGGCACTGCTTCTGATGTTCAGTGAAGCTGAGATGTTCTTCACCAGAACACAAATACATCTCACTATTATATGTGACCCTGGAGCACAAAACCAGTCATAAGGGTCAGTTTTTTTAAATTGAGATTTATACATCCATTGATGTATGGTTTGTTATGATAGGACAATATTTGGCTGAGATGCAACTATTTGAAAATCTGGAATCTGAGGGTGCAAAAAAATCTAAATATTGAGAAAATCATCTTTAAAGTTGTTCAAATGAAGTCCTTAGCAATGCATATTACTAATCAAAAATTAAGTTTTGA